TTTCATCATCAAGTCTTATACAATGCTGCACAAGGTCACAACGCCCAAGATCATTGTCATGCAAGGAGAAGGCATCAATGTTATGCTGAAAGAAACGATGCACCATTTTGATCTGTGATCCACCAATGGGAGATTCCAAAAGATTGAACTTCACACCCTTGATGACAACACTTGGATCTCTGTCACTATGCTCATCTCTCTCAGTCTCTTCCTTGACCATTGAAGCACTCTGAACGTGGGTCACAGCTGTTACTTCTCCAACAGCGCTACCAGGTCTGATATACACATTCCTGTTGGTAGTGTTAAACACATGAACAGGCAGTCTCGAATTAGACGCATTACACTCCAACACTGTGACTGATGGCACAGCAGTCGCTTGCATTCTCATATTGATTATCGGCTCCACCATAACTACATACTTGTCACCATCAGGGCCCTTTGGTAAGTCACCCATAATGATGGCATCCTGCTCTGGTCGAATGGCAAGGGGTCTGTCAATTGCTGCCTTGACCATGCCCAAGTGACCAATACTACCAATAAACTTATGGCGGTCACTCAAATGCTTAATCACACGTCTACCAGTTCCAGACATACGGCCTATCACACATGAATCAGACGGTTTACCTCAGAGTCTTCCTTTGATTTACTCGCTTACCAGCAAATCCCACGCCGTCTTGATCACTCGTCCATGTCCCAAGTCTACCGCACAACAGCAGGCAATCGGGGTTACAGCGTCAGCCTCGTGGTTTGTAGGAGCGCAACGTCTTTCAATCATGGAAAGTTCGTTTCACAGGGTCCAAGACTCCCTCAGCCCCTCAGCTGACCCCAGCAGCGACTCGGATGATTCCCCTTCTCTGCCACAAGTGTTCAGTCAGGAATCAATGCCGTTATTCGCCTGATTTAGATGAATCTTCACTCCGCTCACTCTAACTAAGTTCAGATTTTCCGGCCATTTTCCTGTCCTATTTCTAGCACGTTCCTTCAACCAATCCGACAACTCGCCTCTCCAGGTCAAAGGTCGGTCACTCTCAATTAGCATGAAAAACTCCAAATTTAGGAAAGACATCCCCAACCCGTGTCTTGCTCCTGTACACGGTGAATTCCAACAGTCTAAAATAAGCCACATACCACGGCATCGGGCAAACACCATGGCAACCCGTTTCCACATAAAACTAACCCAAAAAGTGATCCACACTCTGTCATTTAACCGGTAATAAAGCAGCATTTCGTACATCACTTAAATACTGCATAATAGTACACTCAGTTACCTAGTCAATGCTAATACTACGTGTGACACTAATGAGTCCTGTTTATCACTTGCCTAGCCTATGTTTACAGAAATTCGTAGTTTATTTACAAGCTACTAGCACTATTACCAACAAGCATCAAAGTGTATAACGGGGCAGTTAGACTTTCTTCCATAGAGAACAGACTGAGTTGCACAGGGATTCCGTAATGACAAGCTAATATGGAACGTGTTACAAAGTGATGAGTTATTGACAAAAACTCAACTCGTACACTATTTATTGTCATCAATATAATACTATATATAATCACTGCTGTGATATTCATAGTTACATACATCCACTTTGGCACGACATAACCAACCTGTAAGTTCGAGAAAATGCGTCTTTACCGGAGTTTGGCTGGAGGTGTTTACTACAGCGTGACTTTCAAAGAAATATTCCCTATTGTTTAGAAGCGTATTTATAGTATACCTTAGACTGGCAAAGTCGGGACTTCTGTTTTGTTTTACAATAATAAATAAATAATTGTTCTTTTAGTCCTTTTAGCGTGATTGCGAAAACTAACCTGACCACTAAAGAAATCACAGTCACGCTAAGTTTTCGCGATCACGTTAAAAGGGCTAAATTGACAATTATATTCTTTTTTGTGAAACAAAAAAGAAGTCCCGACTTTACCAGTCTAAGTATACCTGGGCCTTTAAGAAGTGTGCTCGGAACATGTAAACGATTGGCTGTCCCACAGCCATGCCACAGTAGGAGCATGGAAGGTACTAACGTTAATTTAAGACCTTCCATGGTAGGAGCATGGCGGTAATACGATTATGGTAGGAGTAACCGAATCAACCAATGGGGTATTTATTTTGTATAACTCCTATGCGTGCACACTAAACAGGACACAGTCCTTTAATAAACAAGTCACACTTACTCCACCCACCTGTGCAAGTATACTGTTTGATGTCTTGTCTTCACTTTAACTGGAAGACGACAACCACTCTCAGATTATACGTTGCAACTGCTAGGCAATGAACCTTGAACTCCTGACTCTATCTCCCAGTGTCACCACGCACTTTTTCTATTTTTATAACAAGTACAAAGCCCCGAAGTTGCATGGGCACCAGATGTAATACTTTCTTTGCCTTGCTGCATAATGTAAACAAGCAGGAAGATTCCCATGCAAATGACGAAATTAAAAAAAATCATGGGGTTCTGGAATACATGCACAAGAGAAAAACACTTGGCATCGAACAGGCGGGTCAACAGAGATACCACACAGAACATATAATTTATCAGCCAACCAAGCTCCCTTTATTCACATCGGTGGTCAAGACAACAATACACCCCTGCTACCAAAAATAAGTACTACACTTTATTAATCTCAGATGCACTAAAGGTATGTTAATTATTCAACTATTTATTCATGCGTGCACGTTAAGGCTTCCAAATAAATCAACTCAGTAATCACTATACCTTATGACCCTAACAAGTCCTTGAAATATGTTATTTAGGCAAACTAATTACCTACACATAAATACAAACAATGCTAATTATTGTGGTGAGTATAAGTACATACATGCAAAATGGCCACTAAAATTAATTTACAGTATAACACAGTAAAAGTATTTGTATTCACTGAAAAATCGTCCTATTCTGTACACAATTACGTGTACCAACTCCACGATACGTGCCACCATGGATGTACTAAGTTCTTAGTACATCCATGGTGCAACTGACCATGGGGGGCATGGAAGTTGCGTTAGTACCTTCCATGTGAGGGGTAAAGCAAATATAAATCAGTCCACTGTATGGAATACACAATAGAGCTTTGTTTAGCTCCATGAATACACGCACTGATTCGATAACATAGGTAAGTACTGTCTGCTAACCTTAATGACTGAATGACTGAGTTCACTTGGCAACTTGTTCTGCTTTTCAACTGCGTAACTAATGGTCAATAAGTACACTCATAACCACGAGACACCATGTATCACCATTTAGTCAGATAGTAGATCCTGGCGACTGACAGGAATTGTTCATGTAGTTTCCTGGCATCTTGAATGTTCAAGGTCAATGTTCCGGCAAAGCGCTCCACTGTCACTTTGAAGTATTTCGTTAGGACTACGTGTAAGCATGGAGGTAAAAAAAAAGGAGCAGTGACGCCTATTGTTTCCTTTGTGTTTGTTTGCTAGCCAAAACAAAATCCTTTTTTACCTCCACGGTGTATGTCACATTGCCCTCGCTGTTTAGAATTAGTTTACCAACTGTCAATCATATTGTTTTTTGCAATTCGCTTGGCCAAGCTATCAAAGTCCTCATAAGACCCCATTAAAATACGCACACCACTCTGCCATGTATTGTTATGGGCTCTGCGCGAGCTGCTGTGAAACGCCGGTCGTAAAGCCGTTGAAAATAGCAAAAATCGAGAAAACAGCACAAACTTTAAGGGCGGTAGTCATCGCGCCACGCGAGTTTGAATACAAACTGAAACGTTACGAAGCTTTAATTAGGTATTTTTTAGGTGATTGGAAGGTATCGAAGTAGTCACCGGCGGTAATTAGTGCAAGTCGCACCCAGGTCAAACCTCATACTTATGATTTCAATTAGAAGAGCTCATTGGATTGTTGGAAAATCAATGTTTATCAACACAAATGTCGCACATGCGCAGCGCGACGACTGCCGCGCTTTAACTTTGAAGAAATCCTAAACAATCAAATTTAAATATGTTGCATATGCAGGGGGTGATCTTGTATCTCAACAACCATCCCAGTACTAGTACCGTTTTATGAGAGTTTTTGGACTTTGTTTTCACCATGATGGTTGCCAGGCGGTGAAAATGCCTGTCCCGTGAATAAATGTCGCTGCGCACAGTGGAAGCTGTGTTGGCTTGGATGTCGAGGCAATACAGCGACGATATCCATATATCATGTAATTCAGACCAAAGCTATTCAAGCTACTTAGTTCCGAGTATGGTGTGTTCGTTTTTAGTCGCACTGGAAATGCCAAAGCCCCAAGCGCTTTTTGGCAGTCATTGTAACAAAGCTTTCTATTGGTCGGTAAACTTCCTATAGCGCAACCATATAAAGTCAAATCACTAAAGCGTGGCGGAGTAAACATGTGATCAGGCAATCGTTGGCACGATCACGTGATAACCTGGGATGTGTCTCACAGTTAAAGCCTTGCAAAGTTGCTACTACCAAAGACTAAACTTCTCTATAGTCTTTGCTACTACTAAATACAATAAGTAAACAATATATTTATCAAATTCCTGTAATACATGTTTATAATCTCCATGCTAAACATGCAAGTTGTTGATTCTAAACTCAGACTAGTACTACTAGTCTGAGTTCTAAACAATAGTGCAACGGCATGTGAACCGAACGTGAAGTCGCTATCATAATAAGATTATCTATTTTCTCAATTTGTTTATTTTTGCAGTTTTTGCTCTCGGTAAAATTTGAAACTAGAATTCTATATGCAGTTTAAAACCTATAGTTATCGCTTGTTATTCAGATCAGAAATTAGTTGACTATATGTTTGTGACACTTTGACATTTGATACGCTATGTTGAATGATCATGAATAAATTTTGTAAACATTTTTGGTCGAATATATATACGAATTATGTTGTACTGTTACATTATCCTAAATTATGTTTATAACATTCATTTTTATTCATTCACACATTCATGAACAATTTATCTAGAAAACTTTTGAAAGGCCGCCCTCTTTAATGAAAACGGTGTATGATTTGACCTAAGGGTTTGACCTCTCGGTTTACCACGGGAACGTGAGTCGAGCATGTCAGTATAAATATCACAGTCCTATTAAAGCCTGCTTGAAAACTACTAATCGGTAAGAAAGGTTGTTTTCATGGATTTATCTGAGAATATTTGTTATGGCTGTCACGGCTGTGAATAATATGATTGTTAAAATTAGGCTGTTTCTGAGTGGCGGCCATTGTTTTGTTTTTTTCAACGAAGGCCGTAGGATAGATTCGTTTTACTAGTGAACTGTATTTGCTTGAAGTATGACGAAATGACATCATAATAGATACTTCAAGGCAGATAGCAATATAATAAGTTATTTGTGTACATATGTGTTTTATTACACCAAGGAACATCGAATGTTGAATGACGTTTTCATGAACAACAAACTCTGTAGTTTATATTACGACCTTCTAACACTTGGAATAGCCGCGGGCACAGTCCTATCAATCGGCTTCCTCCCACTGGGAAACGAAGCAGCTAACTCTATGAAAGGTTCTCCGCAATAATTTTTAGCCGGGTGACGAATCCCCTCTCTTTAATTAAGTGTTCTCGGGAATGTGGGCCGGGTCAACGGATTGTCAGTGGGAGGGGGCGCCAAAAGACAAGATTGCACTCACACACGTTATTGTTGTTTGCCCTTTGATATGGATATATATATAATATAAATGATGATGTAAGCCATGTTGCCGCTTCTTTTGGTGGTGGCTGTAATATATTTTTCAGTCAATAGAACTTCATCACATTGTTTTTTATAGTAATTTTCAAAAATGTGTATCGTCTCTTCTATTAAAAACGCTTACACTTATGTAAATGATATATACTGTAAATAGGTTAATTATTCACTGGGTTTTAATTTTGCTTATTTCGCTGACTGGAAAATGCGCTAAATTAAAACCCAATTAATATGTAAAATTAGCATAGAACGCATTATCTAAATAATAAAACTGTGAATTTAAAACCCATCGAATATGCCTGAAATGGTAAATCAACCCAGTGAAAAATAATCATGTACCTGTGTGACTCAAACGAGGTCAATGCTCCAGTATGCAATAAATACAACATTTTTGTGCCTGTGTTCGAGATTTTTTTGTTTACTAAGAAGGAAAAAATGCATTTTTTCTCACTTAGTTTTGAACTTGAAGGTTATTTCAATTCCGATGATTGTCTAAATCATTGTTCGGCTTCTTTTACATGATGTAAATTAAATAAACATTAAATAAAGTAAATTTTTTTAATATGTGAATGACAGTAATGTTTTATCGTCATACTATGTTTGAATATTCTAACGCACTGCAATTGACAATCAATATATTATTCGATAGGTGTGACAATAGGCGAAAATTCTGCAATGTTAACATAGTTCTTTTTAACATTTTCACCATGCAGGCTGTGACTGAGGACGAAATCTTATATACAACACTATAATGGCAGCACAAGCCTTGGATGTGGCGCCCTCAATCCGGGTGATGTTATGGACACATGCCAGGTCTAGATCTACGGCATTTGAGTTGGCAATTGCATCGGAACCATCTATTAAAGTTTTTCATGAACAGTTCATTGTAGCGTATTTCTATGGATCAGATCGAAAATGTAGCGAGTTGTATTTGAGAGCGCCACCTATGTCTGGAAATGCATATCAAGAAGTGAAAAATAGGCTAGAGACAAAGTGGACCGGGAAAAGGGTCATCTTTGCAAAAGATGGAGCATTTGGATTAGGAAGTAAAGACAACTATAAATATCTGCCATACGGTTACACTCACACGTTTCTTATTCGTGACCCGATTGCATCCATCTTGTCTCTGTACAAGTGTATTATGAAGCGTCATCCTGAAGATGAAAAACTGGCCATAATCAAAATGACCATTGAAGTTGGCGATTTTAAATCACTATACGAACTATATAAGTATGTTACTGAAGAAATGAAACAACCTGCAATAATCATGGAATCAGACGATTTAATGATGTATCCAAAGGAAACGATGCAAAAATATTGCTTAGCAACTGGTATTCCATTTAGTGAGAACTTCTTACACTGGAAACCTGGCAATGTTGATCATTTCCCCGATTTCATGAAGGAACCAACGTTTTTCAATATATATTATAAGACAGTTGTTGAAAGCACTTGTTTCCAGCCACCAACACAATCACCCTTAGATTTGAGCGAGTTACCAGGAGAAATAAAGAGAGAAATTGAGAATGTCACTATGCCTTTGTACAGAGAAATGGCCAGAAATAAATTATAAATTTGTACCCGTTATTAATTACCGCGACTATTTTATTCATTGATTAATAACACAGAAAATACCACTAAAAAAATTTGTGATATCACAGACACCTGGCAAAATTTATCTCCAGCAACATTTAAGTCGCTTACGTAATTACGTGTCTTTTTTTTATATTAAACAATAGTATTAATGAGAACGCTAACCATTGTGGTACTGTATCCTAAACATTTGTATGATGACCTCCTATTTGTTTTTACTTCTTTTCATCCTTTTAAGTGTATTTCCTGTAAATCTGAAAATATAATCATCCCTCTTCAACTGTTTTCAGAATCACTCAATAGCTGTTCTGTGTATGTTTTATTACATGCCTTTATCCGCCCGCCAATCAAACACACATTTTAGAATAGGAACGTCCGGGGATTTTTGCGGTCTAGTGAGCCATGTACGGACCGTCGTCTATAGCAACAGAGAGGTCCAATGATCAAAGAAATTCGCGGAGCTACTTTCGTTTGCTTGTAGAAATTTTATAAAAAAATAAAATGGACAATCATGATGGGGTTAATATTCAAAATTTAAAAGTTTGCAACTACACACAATCCATTTTACAACAATACACGTAAAAACAACTCGCATCGGATACATGGGCTTGTCAACCACAAATGAAATTAAAACAATCGATAACTCGCAAAAGTTCAACAACTTGTGACAACAGTGCATACTAATTTAAAATCGGCAAGTTCTAATAAACTTCCTGGCTAGATTCTGAGCTATTGTTAATAACCTGTATACGACTGAATTTGCATGATTTAACAAGTGTGGGTGACACATTCTTCCTTGGTTGTGGAACGGTTTCATTCATTGTGATGGTACAAGCTCATTCAACTCGACCGGTGGTATGTCTTCGAGGTGCGCGGCAATTCTACGGTATTCTGAGTTAGCCCGGCACTCTGTACAGCGACGGACATCAGGTTCGATGGTTTTAACGGTACTTTGCTTCTGGTGTGCTTTTATAAAATCGTCCACTTCGTCCGGTACTTCATTTTCTGGTGCTGGTTTAAGAATTCCATCAAGATGGCCCTGTCCTATTGACCACAACCACTGCATAATATCTATTTCGTGTGCTGGTTGTCAAGGGAGCCGGTTAACAGGATGCGTAAACATATCTATCCGCAGTTCCAAACTTATCCATTAACGCGATTGCATGCAAAACTTTGTTACTGCTTATGAAAAATGTACCTTTTTACCAATAAGAATTACCTTTAAACATTAAGATATAAACCCTGTATCCTTTATGTTATTAAAGGCATATAACGTCGGGCAAATAATCACCTGCGCTCGGGCACAAACGCCCATATTCGGGTAGTAAGGCCAGACTTTTATTATCCCTTGTTTCGCGAACCCGCCGAATGAACAGGAGCCGAAAATGAAATAAAAATAAAATGTTATTTCAGCGTAATTTCTCGCGCCCGCCGAATTGTAAGTGCAACAAAAATGCTTTAAAAAATATTATTTTTATCTTCATTTTTTTACCGCCCGCCGCATAACAAATCCAAGTTGCATTTTCGTGGGAGTATCATCAAAGTACCAAAGTCTCGCGCAGATGAGAAACAATGTTATACATGGAATAACATTTTATTTTATTTCTTCTTTCTGATCAATGATCTCACTTACAATTCTTTGAGAATCACACAAATCTAATGGGAAAAAAGAATTATAATTTTATTTTTTGTCCGCCCTTCTCAAAAAAAATTGCCTTATAAAAACTCGAGAAACATGGAATAAAAAAAGTCTGGCCTAATATATATATATATATATATAACCAGTACAGGATTGTAACTGCTAAGCCAGTAACAAACGAATCATATTTCATGCTTCTGATAGGTACGATTATAATTACTAGCTAATTTAAGGTAGAGATGCTGGTTCGTTGGCACTGGGAGTGAATTTGTTTTTTTTAGAGACTGTTAAAATTTTGCAGCTCTGTGAGCAGTGCAACATACTCAGAAAACGATTTTGAAATATAGAAAACTAGCACAGACATTATCTCTTTCAAACGCTTAGCAGGATTTATAAAACTGTACATAAATAGTGAAACATGGTGAAATAAAAGTGATAACGGAATCTCCATATTATGTATACACTATATATAACTTAACAAAACAATAATAGGGTAAAATGTTACTTTTACAGCCATTTCAATTAATATGAGCATCAGAAAAATTCTTTCTGAATGAATGGTTATGCAAATTAGCCATTATTCCCACGTGTTTTTAGTCTCCCCTTTCAGGCACAGAAAATAAATTCAAGCAGACAATCTGCATGAGTGTCAAGTGTCAAGTGTCAGATATTGAAAATTATTGGATTTGAAACATGCACTCATAAAAATGATGGCATATGAATTAGTTTTCAAGATATAACAATAAAAAGGTTTAAATTATCTACAAACTACCAGTGAACAAAACCAATGAGTCATCACAATTAAAATGATACTTTAATTCACGGTCATAACAACTGTCCTGTCAGCCAAGTTCGATGCTTCTGAGTCAGTCCACGTGAACACAGTTTGCAGTGTGCGATGCGATTTGAATACAGATTATATAGAACAGTACACCTGTATGATTGTTCACCCATTATTATATCTAGTGTTATATCTAGTGCTTGCTTATTTAGTGAGGCTGGGTATTATTGACATTAATCTATTGGTAAAGTTTTCGCGTGTTGATGACGTACTGACGCCGTGAATTCGGTGATTAATAACAACCGTTAAAGACAGAGCAAACAATTACTTGTCCATCAGACCCGCGCACACCTATCATATCGCATTTTAATTTTCTTTTTAATTTGTGTTAAAAATTCACTTGACCGTTGGTGGCGCTGTTACATACTCTCGCAAAGTATGTGCGTCCCAACAGGGCATTCATATCTGCATTGCTTAATCGATTTTGTTTCCTGGGTGATGGTTAATACATCGAATAAAGAACTTACAAGATGAGTATTAACGTTATAGTCTGTGTACGCCGTCAAGGTGGAAATGTTTTAATGGCAAAAACGTTGATCTCCGTGCATTTGGATCAGACATTTACTAACTTGTTAAAACAATGCATTCAAAATGACAGTCGATGTTCTGAAATAAATAAAACTTCCGTATAAAAAAAATAGCAATATCTGATATTGGTAATATACAGAAAAATGTTACTGTGAAACCAGGTACAGGAGTTTTGGTTTGTGATGAATTTAATATGAAGTGCGTTACCGGTACTTTCACTGTGTTGCAACACGGCCTCCCCAAATGTGAGCACTAACCCTGGACTTGCTGCAGTTTAGCAGCTCATCGGCCGTTTAGCCCCGCAACGTATAACCACGACCAAGAGAGCTGCATGAACTTCAGCAAACACTGGACGTATATTTGGAATGTTAGAAGATAATATTTGTACCCAGTCAACGCTAGTAGCTAGTAGAAATGCAGTTCAAGTGAGGTGATTTTACACACAAAACAATTGAACCGTCTCATGATGGCAAAAAATTGCTTAGTTCTCAGATTCTGTATAATGATGTCATTCGTTTATTTGAAAGCATGGAAGCGGGTTGGACAAAAACAACATTGAAATTAGGCATAAAACAAACTTCAATTTGTGTATAACGTTTAGAACGAATTAGCCAAGACATTTTTTGGTATTGGATCCTCCATCAAATTATTCATCTAAAAATAAGCAACTGATGTTGGCCATTGAACAGTTGCAAAAATACAAGGAGTATAATAAAAGACAACCTGTTGAATAACAACTACATACAAACCCTCAAAAAACAGATTAGTTTAGTTAGACCATTGTACAACAAATGCCACTACAACGGGCAGGATGCATGACATGGGGTCAGAGTTTCATGAAAAAAACATTTAAAAAATATCAGCTTGTTGTCAACACACTAAGTTATGAGGCTGTGGACTGAATGTACCTAAATGTACTCAAATATTTAGTTTTCAAATAAATACATAAACACTGTGGTGTTTTTTTTTATCTAAATATGCACTTCATATATGATAAACACAAGTTTCTGCTTCTGCAACTTTTATGTACAAAATGAAGAAGAAGAAAAAATCACACTTCGCTTCCAAATTTTAGGCAAAAAAAAAATTGGCTCGCCGCTTCAAGGTTTTTTACAAGAAAAATCCGATGAACAAGATTTTTTTTGGTCTGGCCTAAAGGACAGTTAAACGTTTGAAACGAAGGTGGTGAAACGATACGAGCATAATGTGCCAAGAAACAGACGATTTTATTTGAACATATTCACAGAATGCTTGCACCCAGTGGTCATGAGTGTTCATGTCATGTGTCGTTTATTTATAGCACGCGTGTTTGCAAACACTACGGTACACATAAACGAAATGAATGTGATTTCACCGCTAATGGCGCTATAACCACTCGAGTAAACTTTTACAATACGGGTGGCTTTATTAGTGCTATTGTCCCGAAGACAAGTATTGCCAGTTATATTGAGCAGTTTGGTTAGTAATTCTCACGAAAATACAATACTCATGGTTGTCAATGTTTTCATTGGTTGAACATTATTGCATCCAAGTCACATACCCAGTAACAGTTGCTTACTGTTCTTAGTCATGTCGTAATGGACTCAGCATGGACGTACTACACCTATGGTATCAGTAATGTTTCATTTCCCAGACACCCTTGCGCGCAAGATGTGTTTGACCACTTTTCGGTGGGTATATCTTTACGAACTGGTTTGAACAGCTCTTGATATCGCCGTCACCTTAGGTTTGTTGTCTGATTGATTGGAAACTACAAATTGGTAAGGGTCGTTGTTTTTTCATAGATCTACCAGAAAAGTGAATTATACATTCATGACTTCCGCGGTTTTGCGAACAATGTAAAATGACCTTTTTGTGAACCCGGCCATTTTTTGATTCATTTTCACACAGTCAAAACGTCATTAATTATGCCGGTCGAAATATTTAAGTTCGTGTTCAAACATTAAATGTAGGCAAGACGAAAATTTGGGTAATCCTAACGGCTGAGTTTATTTTCTGATGTGAACTTGAAACTACCTATTACAGTGTCTCACTTAATAGATTGCACCTTGATA